TTGTTATGAAAGATGGGCAGTAAAGAGTTGAGCCAGTAAAGAATTCACTATAAACTTTTCTAATGATAACTTCTTGTTAATGATATTTTAAATGAGCAAGATTTTTGTTATATCTTTTATTACTTTCTCCCCCTATACTATAGTATAGGGAGAAAGTTTTTTTTGTGACAGATTTTCTTGAAATCTGTATTGATTTTCTTTTCATTTGATGCATGAAAAAACTGTGAAGCTAAGTTCAAAAGCTTGAAAGAATCATATGGTTATAATCATATATTGTTTTTTTTTTTATAGCCCATTCACAAAATTTAGGCGATTTAAGGGGAGGGTTTCCTGAGTTGTTGCCCCACAATCTTTTTTAGCTCAATGTAAATATCAGCTGGTGAGCTATTGTTTCAATATTAGGGTGAGGAGGAAGCGATGGAATCGCTTCCCCTCAAACCGCCTAAATTTTGTGTATAGTAACAGAGAATAGAACATTGAATGGTTAGGTTTTAAGCAGCCTGCATTTTTAATAAAAAAATAAACAATAGGCTAAAGAAACACTACATATGATTGACTGGTTTTGTTGATAAACAATAATTGAATAGACCTATGGTTATAAAGGCAATTAATTTAAACCATTTTGTGAGGTATCAGAATTTGTCAACTATGTCACATATAAAAAAAAATACTTAAATAATAAATACTATAGTAATATATTTATAAAGTTCTGCAACTTTTAATTCATCGGTTATATGTCGTAAGTAATAAACTTCAGCGCCCTTTAGTTGTTAAAGATTGGATTTGATAATAACTCAGTAGTTTTTACTACCCTTGACAAACTTTGCCTTTCATCAAACTTATGACATGCTCAACTAATCTCTCAAATGATGATCCTGAGTACATACATGTTCTTCAATATATTATTACAAATTGTTGATGTTAGCCTATTGTTTATTCTGATATGTGTTTGAGTTATGTTAAATGCATGTGCTCTAGAGGATTCGGAAATCAGCTACCAAACCCTCGCAACTGACTCTGATTTTGAGACTGATGGTAAGTACATATTTTTTATGTTGAGTGAGTTTGAGTTTATTGAGTGACTTACTTTAGATATGCTTTTAGGTTTTTTTGTAGGATTTGTTCCTTTTATTAACTAATCTGATTTCGTTGTTTCTATAATGGAATTCTATTCTCTTCATACTCCTTTGATGATACTAATTGTTTAGGAAGGTAACATTATCGTTTTTCCTTAAATATTTTGGTACAGTCATTTTGACAAATGGTTGATAATTAATTAAATATATATAAATGGACAGTGAATAATCAAAATTTAAAATAGTTAATTATTTAGTGCTGTATGTTGTATTACTACCACTTTGATTATTTCTATAAGCTTGCATTAATGTTTCATATATTTCAATGTTTCCCAGTCTAAACCTGAGGATTTATTTCTTTTTGCTGCAGATTTGTGCTAGGGATTTACAATTTACCAAAGTTTACACATACATTTGAATCTAAGTTTTTACATTCAATCATAAACACAGAATAGTCAAGTTTTCGGCCTTTTTTAATTTTGTGGTATATTTTATAAACCGTCTATGATCTATATAGAGCGTCAACATTATGTCTCTAGGAATAGTCAGCGTAGCTAGATTCTCACCATAGACTCGCACTTCGTGATACGTTGGATAGATTGATTTATGAATTGAAACTGCTTAGTGTAGTAAAGTATACTGGTTATTGGATCACTGAAAACTCAAAGAAATAAGTTTTTTTTTAAGCGGTACAGTAATCAAATACATTTTCTTGAGTTATAGTACAGGTGTTAAATACCGATATAACAGACTGTTAAATTTAAAAAATAGTTTGTTTTCCATATTTGTTTCATCATACACTTGTGAATTGCTGTGTATATTGGATCCACAAATATAAATTTAATCTTTTAAGTTCCAACAGTAAAAGGTAAATAGAAATATATTAAACTTCTAGGTTTTACCTCTATTTGACAATAATTAACACAGTAGGAATCGTACATGTTTTTTCATATTTTTTTACTGTTGCATAATAAAATTATTTTACTATTAAATGGTGAAAATTTCAATCACTTACAATTAAAATTGTAATAAATTAATATAAAATTGAGGATCTGTATTATTAAAATGCTTGCTTAAAAATAATTTATCTGAGCCTTATCATTAAGGTGATAATAGGAAAGGTGTTAACCCCACGATTTCATGGACAATAATCAAACAAGTATAGACCATAAATGTATAACCTTTTTCATTGTAAATAGTACTTTAATTGCTGGTTTCACTGTAAAACAAATTGTTTTAAATATTTAAATCGTCAAGTGTTTATCTATTAAATGACTAACAGCTTGAGCACAGCTTCTGATTGGTTTCCATGTATCCTGAAGTAAATCTGGAATTTATAAATAATAAGTAGCCTGGAGAACCAGTAAAGTAACGACAGCATGAGTTTTAAGCAGCTTGTGATCAGAATGTGGTGCAACGGATATAAAAAAATTGCTTTTGATTTGGCGTAAATCAGAATAGTAAAGAGTGTTACTTAGCATTTGAGTCTTAGTTTTCTTTGCCAAAATCAAAACGGTTTACTAAATAGTGCTTGGTCTTGCTTTATATTTTGCACATTTTAGATCCCTCTTTCATAAATGTAGTAGGAAAATCTATTAGTAGTACAATTAGGTATCATACTGTATACAAAATTAACAATTTCTACTACCTCATATCCCAGTTTTTAGTTTCTAATGGTTTTAAAGTTAGTTTTGTAGTGTTGGTTGCTCGTAAAATTTAGAAAGTAAATGCTAATGTCAGAACAATAGGTTTTATGCTGTACTTTTGATTATTGTAGCCTAACATTAAGTTGTTCTAACATCAACACTTACTAATAAAAACCCTAAAGATGTAAAAAAATAATTTCATTCTCTTCTTAAATTGCAGTTCATTAAATTTTAACCCTGAAAATAAAATATTGGAATCCATTCCTTTTTGTAAAAAAGAATTACTGTTTATTAATAACATAAAATAAAAAAGTCCCACACCTTTTGTCCTACATAAAATGTCACAGTTTTGGGTATTTATCCGAGGCAATATCCCTAATTATCCAGCAGAAGGGAGCTAGATCTGAACAGTTTAGGGAAGCAGACCAAGTAACCTATGTTGCACCACGTTGCCTCTTCTAACATTGCTGGTCTAATGCTCGCAATGCTCTGTCCCGTAGAACTAAGGATTGTGTGCCCCAACAAGACAACCTCTCAACTTTCTACCAATTCTTACAGTTCAGGTAAGCTCGGTCATGTCACCTCATTGCCATCTCTTCTGTGATCCTTACCGAGATGTCCGTCTTCGCCTAGCTTAACTAATCAACAAACCTTTGATATAATACAATTACTCTCCTGCATTCAGATTTGGTAATAAATTGACACCTTCAGACCCATGAATGTCTTGGATTAAATTTCTTTTAAATAACTTAGTTGCTTTTCCTAGATCTATCCACACAAGCAATGGTGGATGTACAATTTCAATTGTACACTCACACACTCAGAGAAGCCAAGAGAGAGGGAGTGTCCAACAGTAAGAGTGGCAACAGTGGTTGCAATTGAAACTATGATATGTTCTATTCAACTCTCTCTCACTAATAAATGTTTTACCAGCTATTTTAAAACACATAAATAATCAAGTAGTAATATTACCACCTTCTAAAAACCCCTTTAATTTGTATATCTTGTAAGGATCACAGAGAGTAATGAATGTCACATAAGTTTGACAGGAAATTCAGGAAGTTAGGTCGCGAAGGATAAATGTATCAAAGATTTGTAAATATTAGTCTAGCCTCTGTTGATGTTTGCATAACTTGCTTGATGTATTTTGCATTGGGGATTCCTCAAGGTATGAGCTTTTCTTTACTTTCGTAGCATGATTCCACACAGTGATAGCACCGTAAGTATTTTTAACAGCTTCGTGAATTTATCGAGTGCTTTGTCTTAAATTTGCCTCCCGTCAGAAGCTTGAGTCTCTTTATTTAAAATTAATACTTTCAGTTCAAACAAAGCTGAGGTTTACTTCACCAATGAAGATGATAACTTCTCACAGGAGGCAAATTTATTGTTGAATAATCTGTTTTATGCTATCTGTGTTTCAGCGAAAATGAAGCAGTGTTCCTTAATTTTGTGAATACTAATGAAAAATAATTTCTTAAGCGTTGTTGTTTCACCTGTTATAGCTTTGAAGGTCCATTTCCATTGATACTCATGTCATGTATAAGTGTTAAATGTGTGATTTTTTACATTCATTTTTGTTTAAATGTCTGTTCTATGGGTAAAATGTTGTAATTGTCATTGTTTATAAAATCACTGTACTATGTAGTAGAATAAAGTAATATCAACTATTTTATTTAGTAATTTGCCACATTATTTTACAATTAATCAATTTACTCAGTCTGATTTTACAAACGGGTAATTTTTATAGCCTTTGATATAAAATAATATTTTACAAATTATATCACAGTAATTAAATGATTCAAAATATATTAGCCTATTGTTCAGCTCTGATCTATTGCGCTGGAAAACAACAAATTTACAAACTTAGTATTGACTCAAGTGTGTTGGATATCAATCTTTGAATGAATTTAAAACTATATAAATATTTAATAGTTAATATTCTATCAATTTTTTTTATTTTTTTTTATGAAATCACGAACTATCACAATTTTTATAAATAGATGTTGAAATATCAAAGAGTAAAAAATTTGATTTAAAACCGTTTCAGAGATCTGAGCGATTTGTATAAAAAACACAACTCAATTTCCAACCAATTATCATGTTGAGTCTAGTAAGTAGCTACACCTAAAGTAGTGAATACTCACTATGGATTGTTTCACTAAGACGATAGGTCAAACTTATCAGATACTTCCCCACCATTCACAATTCACATGACACTTGGCATCTAGTTACTTTTATCTTCTCTGAGCTGTGTTGAACATGTTGTGACGTGTTGCAGCTCGCAAGCAGGAGGTGATCAAGATGACAGAACAGCTGATTGAGGCCATCAACACTGGTGATTTTGAAGCCTACACGTAAGTCTGCTGCCAGCTGTCAGTCAAATCCTGGATTGTAAGAGTTCATGGTCAACAGAGCATTGATGATTACTGCAAAGTTATCAAATAAGTTTTTTTTACACGTGCACTGCCGGCATAGTAGATCTTCAACAGTCTACCAAAAGCGAAGTCTTAACTACTCTTGTCCTTTGTTTGCAAGTATTATATTTTACACTCAGCAATAAAGTCTAGTCGAGTCTGTGATTGCTTCTACTTTTGGGATGTGTTCTAAAATACCAGTAATATTTCTTTTTATAATAATCCACCTTTAGGAGATAGTTTAGAAGCAAAAGCCATTAAAAACTCATTGTATTACGAACTTGATGCTTGGTTGTCAGCAGTGAATACAGTATGTTTAATCATTTTTTATTAATCTTACTCGCAAGTTCCTACGCCACTGTAAAAGGTTTTGTTAGTTATGAGATCACTTCTTTAAAAACGTTAAAATTTTCATTTTTAACCTTCTTTAACTCTCCCTTTGTAACTCTGTGCCCTTCACTTTAGCAACATTATGAATAGGATTATTCTTGTTTGAAATCTATTGCAGATTCTTTTTTCATGTAACATACTTTATGCTAAACCGCATGACATATTTTGAAAACAATTCATTAAAACAAAAAATAAAATATGGCCTACAAATCTTTGAACTTTAACTCACTTCCCCCAAAACCCGACACCTGATTGTCGTCTCTTGGTCCAAGTTTGTCCTAGGTGTACTTGATTATGCACATTTTGGCGTCAACAAATTTGTCAGATACACTGCATAACAACTAATATTGCCTGAAGAGGCAAACAAAACACATAAACATGAAAAACACTTCTCGACTATAATTTATATTTAACATAGTTTATCTTTCTCGACACACATGGTATTGGTATATGACTGACCTTACCTGTGCATGCATCGAAAAAGATTTCTTGAAGTCACAAAAAATATAATATATATATATGTATTTTTATCTGGAGATTCATATGAACAAAATTTGTTTGTTTAGACCAAAAATAATCTACATGTAAACACTAAAATAAATATGCTCTGTTTACAGGAAAATATGTGACCCTCACCTTACAGCATTTGAGCCTGAGGCGCTAGGTAATTTAGTCGAAGGAATGGACTTTCACAAATTTTACTTTGATAATGGTAATTGTACATTATTTTCCTGCACGCTTTTTTAGATTTAGTTACTAGTTTTTGCATCATCAACCAGCTGTTGTCTCAATGAATGTTGAAACTCAACCCCTCTTGCTGATACATTCATAAGATTAGGTATTGGCTACCAATATCAATGATCTTCTACATGCATGTTTTGTCCTCAATGTCTAGTCCATTCTCTCTCATCCAATTTGTAATCTACGAATCAATCAATATGTTAAACTGTGAATATGGCACAGTAAAACTTGTTATTTATGCACTTTTTTATACACTGCTATTAAAACATTCTTTTAATTGTTAGCCTATGTATTTTTATTTTTTTTTTATAATCAAATTAATTTAGATTAAAATTTAAATGTTTTACAAAAATAATCTACAAAATTATTTGCCAAAAAAGATGCAATTTAATGACAACTAAGAGTTTTCATACAGTATTGTGTCATTATAGAAGAGTAGGTAAAAAGCAAAAATGAGATACAGTTTTTAAGATTTTTAAGTTAATTCAAGCATATTTTTCAAATTAAATTTTGAAATAAAAATAGAATCTTTACAAAACAGTTTTGGTGCTGTATAGACCTTATTTTTACGATTTATTTTATTGCATGGCCCATTTTTGAGCTCTGATACCGTCTTAACACTTTTTAGTTGAAAATTTTTCTCACCACACACTTCACATGAAGTCTATTGTATGTTATGGTACTTGCATGTGAAGGTTCTTAACATTTAGTGGCAAATAATAAACTAAACATTTCATTTATAAAAAAATAAGTATTGATCAAACCACACCAATGTAAAACTATTTGCTGTAACAAGGATGTTAACAAATACACTTACGCAAACTTAGAACAGTTAAATAAGAAAGATTAATTCAATAACAATTCTAACTGTGAAGGAATAGTAGTCACTTGAAACTTGGATCATGTTAAAACTGTTAATTAGGTATGCAATCATTATAAGGCCACTTAAGGTTAACATTTTAGCAATAATATGTGTTATATGTTAATATATGATATATTTAATATAAAATGTATTGTTTGTAATGGCTCTTTAATGTTGAACCATTCTTCAAATGTTACTATATTAGGCTATGCATGCATGTATGTTATATTAACTGTAGCCTACCAAGGGTACTGACATTGACAAACACAACTATGAAGGAGGATTTAGAGATGTTAAGATACATAATGCACTAAACTAAAGGTCTGAGGTTACGAGGCATTAACCACACTGCAACTACCTCAGAATAATATGTAGACTTGTACAAAATTATGTTACATTCAGTGAAAGCTTAAAGCTGAATTCACAGCATTATTGCTGGGAATTGTATGTGTTACTTATTTTTATAAAATCTCAAATAGAATTGCAATGTGGTTTAATGTAAAGGTATTTAAACTTTGCTATTTAAGATTAATTTTTAGTTTATAAATTTAAATTTTAAAGACTCAACAAACAAAATTGATTTGCAGTTGTGATTGTCGGCGCCATAGGCAATTTTTTCAGGGATCAATCGGAATCGGAATTCTGATCTTGTTACATTAGTTTTTTGCTCAATGCCCAATGATAGATGATATCTGGGTCCAGAATCAATCTGTTTTGGAATTGGACCAGCAAAATTCACATTTGAATGGATCACTCTAACTACTTGACTATCCAGATAATTATTTGATAACATGAAACTTTACACATTATTTTCGTTGTCTGTATTTGATAAACTTGTCCTGTAGTTTCATCGTGTGATGTTTTTCAGTGGTAGGCAAGAACTGCAAGGCGGTGAACACTACAATACTCAACCCTAATGTTCACTTGCTGGGGGAAGACGCAGCTTGTATTGCCTATGTGCGGCTCACTCAGTATATGGACAAGTGAGTTTCATAACACTCAATCTAACTCATTCTTGGCCTAGTGACAGTAAAGTAGTGGTTTTAACAACATTAATTAAATTACAAAGCTACTTCTCTCATTTCCCCACAAAACAATAATGCCTGGGGTAGTCACAGAGAAGTAAGGAGCAGAGGATACACAAGTAGTGTCTAGGGCAAAGTCCAACACTGTCCCTCTCACCCTCATGTATTACAACGCTCATGGTGCAGAAAGACCCTTTCCCCTGTACAATTGGAAGTTTCACACAGTGCTTGCCATACAGGCTCTTCTTTGATTGTCACAAGTATGATTCCAGAACAACATATCAGAGCTGAAAGCGCACGGTCATCCCAAGTGTGTTTCCTCTGTACCTTACTTCTCTGTGGGGAAGTCTTGCAAAATAAGCCAGTTAAGCAACAATAAATCCATAATACTGTGTCACGTGTCTTTAGTAACCCTTTTCAAAGGAGATTTTTCAACTGGATCCCTGGAGACAAGTATTTGAATCACAATGTTATATTCATAACCAGAAGTTTTTTAAATGATTGATGCTTCCATGACGATATAACAAAGATCATTGTAGATGTATCTTATCGTCAGTAGTTGATGATTCACAATGTGTCGTTGTTTGTCACAGGCAAGGCATCGCTCACAGCTCCCAATGCGAGGAGACACGAGTGTGGCACAAACGTGACAACAAGTGGCAGAACGTTCACTTCCATCGCTCCACCAACTCCCCCTCCTACACGTTTGCGCCTACTGCGCACAAATAAAAGACTTTTCGCATCAGGTTTTCTTCTTCTAATTCTACTTTTTCTTCTCACTAAATCAACTTGTGCTGCCCGACTGTATTGCACCCTTCTGGTGTTTCGTCTCTTAACACTGTTGCCAGTTCGGTTCCAGTTCCTTTTTCTGTATCTGTAATCTTTTTGTTTCTTTAAGGCTGCTCAAAACATTTCAATTATTTACTGTACTGATCGTATTATTTTTTAACGCATTAAATATTTATTTTATCTTACGGAGATACGATCGTGAAGTACTTAAGATGAATGGATTGTTGATCGATAATACAGATTAATTGTAAAGAATGTTTTGTTTCAAAAGAACAACATGCACAAAAGTTCTCAATTGAGAATACGGCTTCAAGACTGAAACGGAAATCAAATGTATTCAGATGGAGAGATAGCAGTGTCAAAGAGACGAAACACCTCGTCTATAAGTGTAAGCTTAACATATTTCGTAGGTAAGTTGCCTTTCGACGTGGTGTCACGGACTGGCTATTGAACTATCTGGTTAGTTTTGTCTTCAACAGTTTTAGATTCATAACTCGAATAAGGTGAATTGTCAACGCAAACGACTATTGTATGCTTTAGGACATTAGAAACTCATATATATACATATAAATCTTTTTGAGCTTTAATCTAGGTGGGATTTTATAAGAATCTCAGTTGCATGACCGATCTCACAGTCATTTCAAACTTTACAATGTTCATCTATTTTATAATGGAAATACGAACATATTTTTTGTTTAATTGATAATCCAGAGTGCATTTTAAATTTTTTAAATGTTAAATTGTACTTATTTAGTAGTTTTAAATTGCATGATTAGTTGTTTTACACCACAAGTGGTACCTTGGAAATTGTGTTTCAAAACATATTTATTCAGTTTGTATTTAAGCAAAATTACCATTAAAAATTGATATATTAGTCAGAAATCGGTTTGTAGATGTTGATTGCCAAGGATCCACGTGATAGAGTTGGCCTAATGCAAACTGTGAATATAATACTAATTACCAATGGACATGCATGAATCTGTAGCTGTAGTCATATTTGAAAGTGATCATCTTTCTTGGTGTAGACTTGAGTTAAATCGATAAGTTTTCAAGTGAAACTTTTAAAGGTAATTAAATAATATTTAAGTAACGTTATAAGTATAATGTATTCGTATGTTGTACCGATACATTATATGTATAAACACATTATATATACATAAACATATGACATTGTAAACTTCTCATTGTACTTATATATAAATATTTATGTCAGTTGGACATTCACTTTATGTTGGTTGTGTTTCGTTGACCCCCACGTTACGGTTGTGGAGCGAATGTTATTCTTGTGTGAATATTTTGTAAGATAGTTATTGTTTAAATTATAAATCGTGCTTTAAACTTTTCATAGCTTTTATTAAATCGTAGGTTACGATAACAGAATCACTTGTTCGTAAATTCTCCTATCGATAGGTGTAGCATCTGATCGTTTGCAATCCTATGCAAATATACGAATTTATCGTAATATAATTTAACGCTATTATTAGTTGTGATAGTCCTGTACGGTTCATTACTGTTATTTGTACAAAGTGGCTCCAAAGATGTCCCATTAGTCCTATCGACATCACGGCTGCGGCTTTCTCCGAACGTATACCTTAGCGTAAGTGTTTTGAGCCACCTTGTCCATAATCCATGAGTACAAACATAATTTATTTAAAGCTGTTTATAATTAAATGTACTTATAAATTGTCTTTTTTTGTATTAAATTTAAATAGATGAAAAACTTAAAGGCACTGATAACTTACTGGTGTATATTGTTGCGGGAACAGGAGTCGTACGATCAACTAGGCTATAAGCCTGTTTCTGCATTATTTACCATTCACCTTTGCCATTTCATGTTTCAATGGTAAGTTCAATGCTTTTTATGCATGCCCTTCACTAGTCAACAAGTTATAATAATAATAGTACCTTTGTCTGTATTTATTATCCGCTCTATAGTTTTACGATATCTTTGTTCCTGGGTTGATACTGAGTGATTTTAGTGTGTATTAATATTGAAATGTGTGTATTTTTATTAATGTACTTTTATGTGTTTTGTATTCAATAATGTTTTTTTGTTTTAGTGCAATTATTATAGCTCATTTTATATAATTGTTAATTAACGTAAGTTTTTATTGTTTTTGAATTTTATATAAATGTTAACTTTTTTTGTTAATAAAAAGGATTATAACATCAGATAGGTGCTTAATTTAATAAAATTGAGATAACAGAGTATCATAATCGATCAAATCGATGTGGTTACTTATTTTATTTGCTTAAAACATAGTATTAAGGCTTTTGAAGAGTATTACCGCCATGACATCACGATTAGCTTAGTTTCTGGAATAAAGTTCTGGCTGTAATTTTCCGATTGTTTACTTTACTGTAACTTGTGTATACATTTTATAGTAAACTTGTTACATTTTGAACATTTATTAATCTTTATCTCTAAAATTGTTCATAATTTATGATATATTTATAAATATATATATATATACAATGTTATATAGTACAATTTCTTTGTAAGCGGAAATTCGTGTTTTGAACTTAATGATACATTTTATATTACAACTATAATTATTTGTGATCGTATTTGGTAACTAACTTATAAGGCAACCTAACACTTCACTAGAAACATATTTTCTACAACAAATATTGCCAAATTGTATCCAAACAACTACTGGACAAAATCTAAACAATATCTAAACTTAGTTAATTTTATCAAGCCATGAAGTTTTGATTATAGCACAGGAGTAGAAATTATAAAAATGTGGTTGCCTCAAAAATATCTTTGTCTTGTATAGTGGTTTTTGAAGGGTTCTTCCTGCAGGGTTTTGTATCTGAGCTTAAGCAAGTACTTTCCTATTCCATGCTAGTACTGTACTACATTTGATGTAAATGCCATTTGTACCAAAGTGGTGTCAGTAGTTGTCAAAGACAATTGATTAACATTTTGCAGTAAATTAGCAATCGGATATTTTATGAATATTTAAACTGTAAACAATCCCAGATCATGTATCCAGTGCCATTTCCAATGTTGCCATAATTTTGTTTTCTGTGATTTGCACTTTGTTCTTTTTTGCACTTAGGTGTTTAGCTTGAACTGTTACATAATATGAACTTATTAAAATTTGCTATTTAGTATTTACATAGGGCACTTGGTAGCTGCTCCAGCCGGTTCCATATTTTTATGCGTTGTTCAGTGTAGTTTTTTATACTACTAGACTCTCAAACTACAAATTGTATTATAACACGAAACTTACCTAATATTTTATTGATTGTATAAAATTGTAAGTGAAGAATCGTTGTAGTTTTTGTCTTGCTGGAAATGATTGTGTGTACATGTGTTTGTTTTCTATTACTTGTTTCGTACATTTTAAACTATTATTATTATAACTTTGTTTTACATGTTTTTGTTATTTATAAAAATGATGTGTTTTAATTTTTCTCCAGATTCAAGTCTTTTGTGGAAAAATAAAATACATTATGTCGATGTTGTCCTATTTTTTTACCTTGACTGATTTGAGTTATAAGCAGTTCATTGAGGATTTGTGAATGTTCTTTCTCGCTATTACAAACTTATGATTGTTTGGAGTCGGAATGTATTGGTAAATTAGTGGTTAAAAGGTACACGACAAAGTGTTATGTGTTGTAATATTGAACTCTATTGGTATTAAATATGTCTTACAACTATAATCAATGTCAATCTACATAATTACTTTGTTTTGGTAGGCAAACTTAGTACAATAGTGAAATTGCTATGGTAATCATACAAAATGTTTACTTGTTAATCCTTTTATTTCCAAGAACTTGAAACAAAATTACATAAAACTGTGAAACTGTGCCAAAACCACAATATAAGTGACTGCCATTTGAAGCATCTGAAAAAAACGTTACAAGTTAACAATTTTAACTCCACAACTTCTTGTTGACCACATTTTTCAAAGAAATTTAAAGTGATGTTTTCCCAATATTGTGGGTTTGCAAAGTTCTTCACTTAAAAATGGAATTCTTCCTTGGTACACAATGATTTATTCGGAACCTGACCAGTTTTCCATCCTTATCTCCCATGGTACTCAATTGTAACTAACACCACAGAAAAGTATAATATACAAAGGATACATTCAATGGTGTATTTAAGTGGGGCATAGCACCAGTCGCTGGTATCTAGAGCAAATTCTATTCGTCATCCCCTTCCGTTCTCTTTTTTTTCCCACGACGCCATCACACACTACAGCCCTTACACTGAAGGAAGACCCTATGCACTACAACTACTGTACAAATATCTATGTGGCCATCACCGTTCGGGCTATTCCTTGCTTGATTCTAGTACATTTCTATCCCAACATACCAGGGGTTAATGCGCACAGTTATCCTATAAGCATGTATCCTCTCCTCTGTATCTTACTTCTCCGTGGTAATACTTTGGGTTAGCTGCTAATTGTTTGGCAAGTTTACTTATCGGGTATTCTGCAAGTGAAGGTTGATCCTGACTGATTTTCAGTGTTTAATTTGGTTAATTCATAAAAAATAAAGATGCCAGAACTACATGATTACAAGGACTTGTTGAGCTCTCAAGCTATTCACATATTCCGTTCCCCTTCAGGAGGAGTTATTTATGGGATTAAGTGTAGTTAATTATTGAGAATCTGCATGAGGACAAGCACTCTTAAAACACACACACAATTGACTATTTGCCAACACTTACAGCATAAAACTTAGCTCTGTTGAGAACAAACAGTCCTGCTGCTGTGAAGTGGCTCCCTCGACTGTGGATTTGCTTCAAGAATACTTTGATCTGCACATAATTGAATTGAACCAATATTATATTTATTAATCAAGCTGTTCTATTTTAATAATGGTTATATGCCACTTATGACGTTTTTGGTAAAGACGTTTTAGTCCAGGGTTTTGTAATGGATAGGTTTAAAGATTCCGTTGCGTATATAACATCTTGCTTGTTTGGACCTTCAATCAGAAAAACCTTGACAACTTTATCGACCATTTGAACAGTCTAAGACCTCTTGTCTACACCTGCATGAAGTCAACTTCTCTTGATGCCAGCATACTTGAAACAGAAATCCACTTAAAACCTACTAACTAACACTATCTGCAATACCTCAACTATAACTAGGTCAAACCCAAAAGAACACCAAACTATCACATAATTATTAAAGACAAAAATAATGACATCACTGTTTTGACTTCCCTACACAGATTTTGTCTCCATGTTAAATTCAAGGTAAAACAAGAAGCTTGATGGAGAGGGTCATTGACAAAATAATACCCTGATAACTCTGCTCAATTTTGTGGCCTCCTCTGCAAGCAAACACCATCACTTAGTTCATTTATCTCAATCTATATCATTTTCATCTATTTCTGTCAGTAAGGTAAGCCTGTTAAGCCTGTCCATTACAAAATCCTTTATGCCACCTATGTTGCTATAAACTTTCAATATTGTTTCAGAATACATTATCAAATATTTTCTCTAAGAATTGTTGACCTAGAAAATAAATTAGTACCTATAAACCACAAGATACCTATGTTTGTGTTTTTACGTAGGGGTTCATATTGTTATGGAGGAAGTATAGTATTGAGCGAGATTAGTTTTATTTTATCATATCGTCACGCCTCACGCCCTTCCTTACATGAGAAATGATGTATTTCAAATTTAAACACATTTTATTGTAGCTAGACTACTATAAACTATGACGGGATGTGTGGGTGTTCATAACCGTACTTTTTTTAGTTTTGGCCAAATAATTTATGTATATTTCTCACAATCTATTTCTAGTTTTAGTGAGTTTTGTGCTGTTTATACCAAATTATTTACCAAAGCTTTTTCGCTGTGATCTAGCTTGTGGTTTTGTTCTACCAGCAGTTCAGCAATAAGTTTGCGGGTTTCATTTCTCTGAAATAACAATCAGTAAATTGCATTGTCATATTACACCATTGACTATTGAAAATCTACTGACTCGTTCTATAACCATTACATTACTGTATTCAAATAAGTGACATTTACAATTTAACTAGTTCAACTAATCTGTTTGTCCTAGGAATTTTTAATTTGATGATGTGGAAGATAGCAAAGCAGTTTTACAACATGCTGAATAAGCAGTACTTTGTGCTCAAACAAAACCTTTAGGGTACTAATATTTAGGGTAGTGGCAACCTCGATGGTGTGACTTTAGTAACTACAACTCGGAAACAAAATCATATTAATGTGTATCATTCTCTACTAAACCTCTTTGCTTTGTGTATTGTTAGTGTATTAACATAACAGTATTCATTATAACTCCTTTCTGCATCTGTGATGGAAAAATCAAAATTCTTTTGCAGAAGCAAGAATGATAATTGATCTTTAGGCTTCTGTCAGAATCATTTATCACTGCTGCAGATATTATTTAACCTAAACATTTAACACGACCACACTAGATTTCAGGTAATACAATCCATTGCATTTTCTTATTGCTATAATAACTATATAGTAGAATAAGTCCAAAAAAACTTACTAAATTAATTTTATATAAATACTTACAGATTCATTACCTGCTTGTAAATGAGGTCACACTTGTACCCTAAGTACCAAACAACGAAGAAGCGATAAGGAACATCGAAAGCTGTCACTATATGATCTGGTGTCTCTGTATAGCCAGTAACAAGTATAAAATATGAATAGTAGCTAAGCAATACTATTTTAATCAAATTATACCAGCACAAAAGAGCAACATCCAAACCAAAACAAGCACTCAAGTCAGCAAACAAGTCACATGTTTGCCAATGTCGCAACATCAGACTTTCTAGTTGTGCAAGGAGATTGGTAGACGTTCCGTTAAACTGTGTAATTTTACTGTTTATATCCTCAAAAGATAACTCAACAAGATTGAAAAACATGATCATGACAAACAGAATTGCATTTTCTTGTAAATTGCAGATGATTGAAGGTGAAATGATGATCAAGCTTACCCCAGTAAACCATCTCACAAATATAGCAAATCCACCTGGAAAAGCCAAGAAGTATCCCAGAAACAAGGTTCTCAGTGCTTTTGGTTTAGTGTTACTCTCTATAGTGGACAGAATGTTCAGTGATTCGTTCAGGCATTCAATGACAGATTTGGTACGATGGAAGAAGGTTAACAAATGAATGCCTGAGGACCTTAAGATTGCACAAGCCAATACACAGATAACCTGCAATGTCAATGCTGAATGGGGCTGAAAGAAATGATTGAAAAAGTTTGTGTTTGCTATGTTCGCCATCATCCCTAACATGACTAATTGAAGTGCTACAAAGGCCAGGCCAGTTTTCTTGAATTTGAATGTACCTGGAATAAAAAAAAAATTGTATTTCAAAAAGTCACAATTTTATTTAATAATTTGGTTCTACAGTTTATGAAGTATGTTTTCCAATGGAAAATTTTAACTCCTGGGTATAGAGCCTTCTGTGTAGAATTTAAAGAAATAGAGATTTCTAAGAGTATATTTGAGGTATAATATTTTTAGGGGATCCTATCAACAATACCAGGCTTTGAACAGTTCACACAAATAACATAAAAAGTTCTACTGGTATTGGAATACACAAATAAGCTATAGATACTATTAATACTAGGTGAAACCCGTCGAAATCGACGGTTACTTTCAAGGCGTAAGCTAATTATTCATCTGCTGCGATAAATTGAGTGAAATTATACATATTTTGAGCATTTAGCATTGTTTAAAGATTAATAAGTGTAAAAACAATAATGATATCAATTGCCTAAGTTACCAAAATATGGTTGATCATTCAATGAATAAAATATTCCCCATACTGTACGTCATCGGAGTTATTATATTGGTACGTTATCTGGTATCTCTTCCTTTGGAAGAACCATTAAACAGTATTCAAATCGTATTGGTGGATCTTTTGAAGTTAAACACTTCCGTGATTCCATCAGTGCAGATTAATCTGAGATTTTATTTGACTAAAATATCTGTTTGTTGGGAAGACACGTTATAACTTCAAACTGAGGTATATCCGTTACAGTGTAAGTTTGAGTTTTCCTTCGTCACGTGGTCACTTCAGTTCATATCATACTTCTGTGCCAATGAATAACCCTCTAGCAATGTTTTGAGAAATTTGTTGTGGGGTTACTGTTAAAGCTGGAATTCCTTGACATGGGGGATGTCAGTTAAGTCATAAGTCATAAGTCGTTTATTCAGCAAAATTAACATAAAATGCATTAGCTACGTCAGTTAGTTGTCTCAGCCCTATCAATTACATAAAGTTGTCAATATAATCTCTCTACAGAATGTTAGGTGTAGTGGAATATACTTGAAGTGAAGTTGGATTTTATTCTTGAACTGTAAGGGGCCTCCTCATTTATATGGTCGTGCGGCTTCATTGGCAACAAATAATGCAAATGACATGATACTGAAGAAAATCAATTTTAAAATCAGAAAATGACATTAAAAATACTTCTTTTGGACAATTCTAACTTCCAATAAATGTGTGTTGTT